GATCCGAATGTTCCGGTTGAAGAAATAGTAACTGCATTAAACGTCGCCGTGGGAGACGGTCTACCTCCTCCGGTTGATAACGCTGAAGGGTGAGTAATGCTCTACTGAAATGTATGAAAAATGTTTAATAGGTGCTAATTTACTGATTTTCTTTTAGGGCTATGGCGAAGGAAAATAAAAAATCCAGCAATAGCCGTAAAAAGGTTAAAAATAAGAAGTCCAGTCATTCCAAGAAGGATCGTGAGACAAAGCGGGACTCGGAAAAGAGGAAATCGAGGTCCTCTCGCTCTGAAGTCGAAAGAGAGCATAGAACGAGACGCTCTAAGAAGTCAAGATCTGCTCGATCGGAGTCCAAAGAGCGTAAACTGGAGAAAGAGAGAGATTCAGAAAGGCGGCGGTCTCGCTCTCGTGCGTCCAAAACTAAAAAGCGATCTCGGGATCGTTCGCGATCTGAGTCCCGTGGGCGAGAGCGGGATAGAGAACGCTCTGCATCTCGGGATAGCACGAAACGCCGTCGCCGCTCACGATCCACTCGCAAGAGTATCGCTGAAGACAAACATCGCTCCCGATCGCAAGACAATGTTACACATAAGAATGAGTAAGTATCAGTGGGATTTAATTGGGGCTTAATAAAAACGTTTCAAAAAACTACTTTTTACTAGATGACCCTTGAACTTCGTATCACCTACATATATGTACATATCTCAAAACTTTTTTTTTTTAAAACAGACCAAAGAATTCGGACCTCATACTACAGCTATGGAAAACAAATTTCTGAATCTATAAATATATGACAAACAAACATTTTGTATTTGTAAAAAGTATATATCAAATATTTCTCAGCTCTACAGTTTTTATTGGAAAATTCAATTATCGCTTTTAGTATCTTTCTTTTACTTTGTTTTTATGTTTCCCACCATTTAAACATTCCCTGAACATCCACAAATATTTCAAGATATTAATTAGCTATATCGGTCCAGCCATTCTCGAGTGAGACGAACGAATAGCAATTAATTTAAATATATATATAGATTACAAGTGTAATTAAATATATAATAAAATGTTAATTTATTTAAATTTAAGTATGTAATTGTAAATCCCTCATCTAACTGCAAGATTACAATTTGAGATAAAAGTTGGTAACAGATATTAAACACATAACGTATTTGATAAACATCTGTTCCGTTCAAAAATTACTTATTATCTACACCTAATTGAATATGTTACTAACATTATGGACGCAGTTCAACAGATTCAGACTCGTTAGAACGTCCAAAGTCGGCAATGATGAAGGAAGTACATCCGGAATATGATCCTCATGAGCCAATGATAACGTCTGCGTTTTCTGAGGATGATCTTCATAAGTCACGCGAAGACACCGACGAGGAGACCTTCAAGAATGAGATCAGCGAATATGGCAATGTAGATATAAGTTCAATGAAATCGTTCGCCGTGGACACCGATATTCCTTTGCCTCCCCCTGTTTACAAGGAGAAGCCTGCGGGTGAGGGTGTTTTTATCAGTAATTGTTTTGAAGTCAATTGAGCGCTTTGACTTTTGATTTCAACACATTTGATTATAATTTCAGCGGAAGTAGAAAGTGACCAAGAGCCCAGTAGCACAGTGGAAAATGCCGCAGTGACAGTTTGGAATGGTTGTATCAATATGGTGGATGTCGCGCGGTTTTATGTTGCTGCGCATGAGGTAACAAAACTATATTATTTACAATTTCGATTGAACTCATATCATGCTTCCCACTGAAGTAATCCAATTCGACTTAAAGTCCTTCAAGAAAAGAGCGCACCAATTCTTAAAAAGCCGGCAACACACTCGCGAGCCCTCTGGCTTTGAGAATGTCCGTGGGCGGCGGTATTACTTAACATCAACATAACGTGAACCTCCGGCCCGTTTCTATACAAGAAAAAATTTCAATAGTAGTAGTTCCTGAGATCGATTTTGAGATAGCTTTCATTTTTGTTTGTAAAATTGAAAATACACTCAAAAATAACTTTCCCTAAGGTGGTATACATGATTTGAATAAAAAGCATCATCTCGAGAAAACTTAGTTTTCGAGAAATTTATCGACAATCACGTGCTTGGAAGCTTAAATAGATCGTGATACTTAAATACTATCCAATAACAACAGTATAACACACATGTCTAACTGATAGCCTTATTTTTGAAGTCCGTTAAAATATATTTGTATTCAGGTATCCGGTAATGCAGTAGACTTAGAAGATGACTTATCAGCAGAGCTGGATATAGTGGGCAGAATAAACCCGGACACAGTGTGGGATTATATCGGTAAAATGAAGCGCACCAGCAATAAGGATATAGTCATTTTGCGCCTTCAAGCAGCCAATGATGAGGAGAGAATGCAATACATCGCTCTCTATAGTTATTTAAGTAGTCGAAATAGGTGTGTAATTTAAATATTGATTTTGAACACGAGAATTTCTAACTTTTTTTCTTTCTTTTTTTTTTTAATTGGAAAAGAAATGTATATGAAAAAGCCAAATTTGATTTTGTAAGTCTTATAGATGAATGGTCGATTGAATGAAAAATATAATGGAAATGCTATTTTTTGACAGACTGGGTGTGGTGAAGGTAACGAATACAGCCACCGTGAAGGACTTTTACATTCTTCCTTTGTCGGCAAATAAGGCTCTTCCGCCCGTTCTACTTCCACTCGACGGGCCGGGCATCGGTGACGTCAAGACACACCTTTTAATCGCAATTATTATAAGACAAAGGAAGAAACGACCGCCTACTCACATTCCCAAAGATTTAATACCAGCTAAGGTCAGTTAACACCGAATGGTGTTAAATAGGGTATTGTAAATAAAGACATTATTTATTGTTGTTCATTTTATTTGTAAAAAAAGGACTTGTTATACGCCAGTCTTGATTGCTAGAATTTATAAAAAAGCGGTATTTTATTGTTTTGAAGTTATTTTTTTGCCTTAATAAAATCTGTGTAGAGCATGTGATACTTTTTAAGTATTTCTTAACATAAAATATCTAGCAGTCTACTTAAACCATTTACCCCCTGTGTCAGTGATATATGATATATCAAGTATAGCGAAAATATTTGACCCCTTATTTAAATAAAAAATTTACTATAAATATTAAGGTGTATACAATATTAAATTAACACATAATAATTTCATGTAATCTTCAACCGTTACGAAATTTGCTAATAAAACAAAACTATACTTAGTTTTGATGAATATAAATGTATAATTATTATTATATATTCCCAATGTTTAGCTACTATAATGAGATACATGAAATTATTAGCAAAGTTCTTCAAAGACATATTTACATTTTTTTGTTTTCAATATTTTGAAAATTATAAATCTCTTTGAAAGCTTATTTTTTTTCTATAAGAATTAGTAATGATTCAACTAATAAATCGTATTGTTACATAACACAAAATGCATGTGTTGTTTCATTCATCATTTTCCTTTATATATCTCATGTAGCCATCCATACCGTAGTAATTACTGTCAGATCTAACCTATAACAACAACCGGTGTATACATAAGATGTGTTACTAGGCGTTATATTATATATATTACTTTTATATCCAGTTGGCACGAGAATCTCGCAAGAAGTCGTACACTCCGCCTTTGTCACCTCGCAACCGGCCGATGAACTTGCCTTACACATCTTCGTTGCTCTCGTCAACAGTGAAGGATAAAATTGCTGCTTCATTAGGTATGATTTAAAAGATAATATAAAAGAAAATATATTTTAGTATAAAAATAATATATAACAAGTCAGAAAATCTGATGTGTATGTCTAAAACATATAGGCGAATTTATAGCAAAAAAAAATCATATATTTTTTTTAAACAGCGGCCGATGATGATGAGCCGTACAGTCCTGGTTCATCAAATAGCAGCATTGGAGCGACATCTGCCCTTCCCACGCACAACCTACGTAACAAAATGGAAGAGCTCAACAGACAGATTGAAGAACAGAAGCAGCAAATATTCAAAATGGCCCAAGCAGACTCCTCTGTTCAGAGTGCTGATGTGTGTATTTATATTTTTGGTTTCACAAATGTTTGTATAGGAATCTCATCATCTCTGAGGAATGAAAACCGACGTAACGGTGTTATAAACATAAAAAAAGGGTAATTTAGCACTGAAGCTACCCCAAATCCCATGGCGGTTCTCTTTCCGCAGATACTCTTAACAACATTCGGATGTTATTGGATCTGTTAATCTAAATATATTGGCACTAATAATCTTTTTTCGTTTACACATTCTTTAGACCAGATCTAATATTTGTATTTAAAAAATATATATATTTTCAGAATGAAGCTTATTCACCATCACGCCCATTGTCGCCAGCCCCTCGAGGTGTTCCGTTAGCAGATATCGCGCTCCCTTCAAACCTACAAGAGATACTTGCCACAATAAAACAGCGCTCGGAAAGCGCCGCAGACGTCGACATGCGCACGAACATGCCCTAAGACTAAGGCTTCTCAAATAAGGATTACAAGCAGATTTAGTTTAAAATTTTTGAGCTATTCTCGTGACATGGTTAAAACAATGTTTATTAAGCCATCTTGGTCACAGGCTGGTCTTGCATGTTCACATTTTAATTCAAAACCAGTGTAGATTATAATAGCTTAGAGGGATCACACAAGTATGTTTAATGTTGTCTTAATTTTTAACTAACAATATTATACTTCTACAAATAAAATGTAATAGATGCATAGCATTTTTGTCAGTTTTATGTGCAATAAGCAAACATTTGGATGTTCTCAATTTTAGTGATAAATTGTATAAATTGGTTCAATCGGTTGACTTGAGTGATAAAATAATGCATTAGGAAAGTATGTATATAATCAATATATACATTTTAAATATAAGTTTGTATCAATTGTTTTCTTGTACAAAAATTATAATAAATATTTTTACTTAAAAATTATAATTTAATTATAAGGTTTATTATGTCGTGAAAGAAATAAAGATTTAAGAATACAACTTATATATTTTCATCATCATAAAGTGACTTCCTAGATGTATTTCTTTTATCGAGGAAAACACTTCTATCACTCACACGCAAGTTCATATATCTTTTAATATCTTTCATCTTTCCTGAATTTTCGAGTTTGTTTTGCATAGCCTTTATTTTTGTTTCCATTAATTTTCGTCTAGGTATATGTCTCAATGAGTAATCCCAGTCTCCTGTTGACTTCAAATCCAAAAGTATTGGGATCATATGATTAATATTTAAATTCTTTTTGGAACCTGGTGCCCATTCTAAGTATCTATCGAGAGGGAGCTTGGCCATTTTGATTCCATCTCTCTTTGCTTTTGCTAAGGAATGAGGTTCATTATTCATCTGAAATTAGTACAAGTAAAAATTAATTTTTATGTATTTTAAATACTTAACTCATTCTAATAAGCAGTAATAAAAATGTACAAACCTTATCCACCATACAACCAATTATATATACAGCATCATGATCAAAATATGTTAATTCTTCTCTGCAGTGAGGTGTCAGGTAAACTAATTTGTCTTTAGGAAACAAGTCCAAGTAAGATTTAGTATGAATATTTAATGGAAACCAGGGTTCTTCCAATGAAGGTACATTTTTCTTGAATTGTTCCATAAATTTTCCTTCTTTATTAACATTGCATAAATGTAAATTAAAGGGTTCTTTATGCAACCTATTATCACCAAAGACATAGGTCAATTGTTTGGCAGCATTTAATATTTCTCTATTAACCATGTGCTCTTCATATGAACAATCAATTATTACTGATTGGCCATATGTCAATGCTTGAAGGGCTCTGGAAATATACTTTTAAAATATTATTATAAGGTAAATATTAAATTTAATAATATCTAGAATAAATTTGCATTTTCTGTCATATTTTATTTAGAAATCTCACTCTAGTAGTCATAATTTGAAAGATAATTTAAACACTCCATTTATTTTCACTCCTCATAGTCGCTTAAAAGATTAATAAAAAAACATGTAATAATTTTTTTCCCATATATATTTATCTAACCACCACCTGATGTAATGTGAAACTGCTGTTAATAAACCTACAATGGCAGTATAAGTATTTCTGGTTTTAACAGTATGCATTAATTACTTAACAACATAACACTTTAATAATTCTTTACCTATAATTATCAAAATTATTTATTGATTGGTCTCGAATGCGTAGAAACAGTGATAGATGTTTTATACCATACAATAAGTCATCTGGGTATTCTTTAACTTCTTCTTCATCCATTTCATCCAACTCTCTCCTTCTAGCATCTTTCCTGGCCTAAAATGTTTTATAAAGTTATACATACAAATATAATTCTGAACATAATGTATATAAAGTAATAACCAATAATCATACCTTCAGATTTATTTTTGACATTTCATTTTTCCATAAGTAACTCAGATAGCTAGTTTTTTGATTTTGAGACTTAAGTTCTAATAAATTTTTCCAATTAGAAGTATTCATTCTCTCAGGGGCTGTCCTTCCATCTTGCCGCATGACTTCTACTTCCAACATCAACACTCTTAATTTCTTCTCTTTTTCAGGATCCCCTTTACATATATCATTAACAATATTTTCTGAAAAAGTAGGGAGTGAAGTTAACCTTGAATGCCTTAAATTCCGGAACAGCAAAATGGACAACATTTAACATAACTAATATTACACCTGTATCATCCTCATCTTCAGCGAATTTTGATGAGTAACTTCGAGATATTTTAATAAAGTTTCGTTTTATAACTCTAGGTTTTATCATAAGGTTTTTTATGTTCCTGTGTCCTACATGAGTAATTAAAGATTTTACACAATACATGATGACACTATAAAATAGATATATTTACGAATTATATTTTATGTTTTTGTTATTATTATTCGAAGTTAATTTTAAATAAACATTCAGAAAAATAAGCGGCAACGGTGGAAAATGAGAATGGATTTATACTACTTCATAAGAATCATAAGCTATGTGTATAAGTACTGGGTATCATATATAAAATCTACAAGATAATATGATTACAATATAGATTATAGAGATACAAATTACAATTTAGAAAAATTGTTTTATTTTCTACTATGCGCTTTATAGGTTATTGTTGTTTTTTTTCTCTTTATGGCTCTGGCACGGTTTGTGCATTAGACAGCGTCAAGTATAAGATTTTTATAATTCGCTGTTTTAATTATTTACAGTTTATGAATAATAAAAAACGAAGGAAACTAATCGCGACATAACATAAATGATTGAAAACGCATTAAATTATTGTTGGACTTATTGGTATTATTTGGTTAGCCTTTCTAGGGATGTCAATCCAATCCGTTATCCGACCTCGTTATAGTAATTTCGGGAATCTGTCCGATTTATAAACCTATGCTTCTGATAAAGTATTCGCGAAATTAAGGAAAACATAACTCGAGTATAGAATCATTTTTATAAAAACTCTAATAATGCATAAACTTTGAACCAAGTTGAGTACCATAAAATATCCGATATCCATTTTTAGAATGGTTTTGTACCCTAAGTATTAGCTCTTCTCTATAATGAACAATTAGACGTATGTGTAGTTAGTTTGTTTATCATTTTTAGTATACAAAAGTATCCGTTACATAGCATGTTAGCATTAGTATCGAAAGGAAATCTAATCGATATCACGATGTATCGATTTTTTGTGTTAATACCTAAATAGTATATTATAATAAATAAAAAAAGTAAAATATACATATAACATTTATGTTACTTTTTTTTTTAATATTATGGCAATAGTTTTAACTTTATGCCAGTTTCAAGTAAAATAAATTTTACTTTGTAGGTACTGGGTAGGGATGATCGATATTAGAAAAACATCGATATTGACATGTCACAATCGACAGCCCAACATCGATGTTCGATATTTATCGGACATAGATTCGCTATGTTGGATAACATCGATGATTTTTGCATTACTAATTGACATAGAAATAAAATACAGTGAAATGGACCGAAATTTATTAAGAAACAGAACATATTATTACATGACTGAATAAAAAGTAATTTTGATAAATAACCTTTTAATCTATTTCATTGTTGATAAAGAGTACTGTTAGGGAGAAAGAGCGAGCGAGACTACGAAGTACGAAGAATGAACGAAGGGAACGACCCCGCAGTGAATGAATACATGTTCAAAATTTAAATAAACCTGGTTTGTGGATGCGTTCATAGAAGACATAATTTGTTTCGTAAGTTGCATTGGTCGTGCGCATAAAGAAATAATATATACTGGGTCGTGCGGTAGGCCGTGAGGCGTGAGTTAACATCGATGTTCGATTCCGTTAACATCGCTATTACGATATTTTTATTTTGCTTTCAACATCGATGATCATCGAGCATCCCTAGTACTGGGTCACCTCATCGCAACTCGCAAGTTTGAGGTTACAATTAGCTTAGCAGTTAGCTCCTTAGCTCATCAATAATTACAGTTAATTACTAAAGTGAGCCAGAGCTTCTTGTCTCAAATTGGATTTTTGGTACTAGTACAAAAAGAGACAACATGTCAGTCTCAGCAATGCTACGCAGAACTTTTATAAATGGAACCGTATATTCAGCGGCTGCAATGCGTATGGCTTCAACACAACCGGATAAAAATGTATATTTCGATGTCACAGCCGATGGTGAACCGTTAGGCCGAATAGTTATGAAACTAAATTCTGATGAAGTTCCTAAAACTGCTGAAAACTTTAGAGCATTGTGTACTGGTGAAAAAGGGTTTGGTTATAAAGGATCTTCATTTCACAGAATCATTCCTGCGTTCATGTGCCAAGGTGGAGATTTTACAAACCATAATGGCACTGGAGGAAAATCTATTTACGGCCGGATGTTTCCTGATGAGAACTTCAAACTGAAACACACTGGTCCTGGAATTCTATCAATGGCTAATGCTGGCCCCAACACTAATGGATCGCAGTTCTTTATTACAACTGATGCTACACCATGGCTTGACAGGAAACATGTTGTTTTTGGTTCAGTAGTTGAAGGAATGGATGTTGTGAGAAAAATGGAAGGTTTGGGTTCCAAGAATGGAAGGCCCTCTAAAAAAGTGGTTATTGCGGAATGTGGTGAGTTAGATTAGTTTAAATTTGAGACTAGTGTAGATTTAAGAGTGTTATATATTAGTAATTATTATATTGTTTTGTATATGTATATTGTATAGTAAAATTAGTAGTTAGTAAAATCTATATTCAATTTAATATCTTTTATTGATACATCCCTTATACAATTAAGTTACTATACTACTTGCAAAATCAATAGCATCCATAATTGTTTTAAATAGTTTTTAGTTTGTAGCATTAAGTATTCTTATAAAAATCAAAAAAGTTATTTTGTTTCTGTATGGATCTTGGCATAATTTAGTATGAGGGAGTTTGTGCATTTACTTATAATAGGCTAATGCTAATGTTGCTGGGCACTTCAGGGTGTTTCAGCTGTAAGTTCATGACTTTAATAATTAGATTATTTGCTATAATTTTCTAGATTTTAAAATATTGGTTATTGTATTAATAAAATTATTTGATCATAATTAAATTTGAGTATTCTATAGGTGATATGGATGAAGAGCTGAATCCAGAGTAACAATTTAATTCACAATTGAAAATAAAAATCCAGTTTAAAATATGTATGCAATTTTTATTTATCACTAAATGCAACAAATTAGTTTAGATATCAATACCAAACAATAATGTTGGTGATTGATGTGACAACAGTACAGCTAAATCAGTATCAAGTCTTAAGGCTATTGTAAGGCATTTTTAGATAAACACATTATTCATATCAAACTATGACTCTCTTAAAATTAATAATTACACTAAGACAAAATTTACACAGATACACAATTGTCTTTTCACTAATCTCTGTGATACATTAAAAAAAATATACTAAAATAATGTGTATCACTATGATCGTAATTAAAGTCTATAATTTTAAATTTCAGCCCAAAAATTGACAGATAATCATAAATTTCAATAAGTAATCACAAATCCTCATGAATATATATATGTATGTAACAAAAAATACTTCAGATTTTAATGTTTTTTAAATTGTCCCAATATGTTTAGAAATCAAGTAAATTCCGATTTAAAATTAGTATTTGTAATATATAACAACTCCCAATGGCTTGTGACAGACAGAAAAGTGTTACTAAGGTTTTTAAGGTATGATGAACTAAAATTTTACTTTCTCACTTATCAACATGTTGAGATCACTATTAATACAACAATACTATGAATCACTCAAAGATATTATAAATGGGAAGTGATTATCTTAATTGGCATTTTAACTACCAACATTTTGAATTTACATTTAACTTTTCTTCAGATTTTAGTAATTTATAGATTAAACAAGATTAAGCAAGAAGTCAATATTTCAATCACTTAGATAATTTGAAATCCAAAAACATAGTATCTGTGTTCTATATGCTACTCTAGTATTTTGAATTTTTATTGATCACTAGTACTAAGGAAATAGATTTTTATAGGAATGTCTAAAAACAAAACATTTGCTATCTAATATTGAAAAGGTCTTATTTTGTGCAGGATATTATGTACTAAATGGTTTATCATTAGTGTATAATCAAAGTGAGCCCGAGTTGTTGGATGCACTTACATATTATATTCTTGCTTATAATTAAATTGCCTATTTTAACAGAATCTATACAAAATAAAGAAACAATATTATCTTAAGAATTTGACATAATTACTTTACTTTGTACTTTCTAAGATTTTAATTGAACCAGATGTTTTAAGGGCATCCAACATTTTGAATAACTTCGTTTTTCTTATTAAGGCCTTGTGTTAATTATATATCTGTTATAGTGTAAATATTTAATTTGTGAATAATTTTCTGGGACATGTCAAAATATATATATAACTCTACCATCACACTAAAATGAAATTATTGCTTATGACAATATAAGTACAAATAGTAATTTTGAATGTAATAACATTATCTATTAAATTTACTACTTTAACCTGAAATAATTATAATCATGAAATTTACATCTTGATAGATTGCACTAAAATTTTCCTAAAGTGAATACAAAATAAAAGATGCTTTAGAATACCTAGACTCGGCACTACAAGAACTGCCAGAAGCAAGTTTCAATGGTAAGCCTAATATCTACTAAGATATGGTTTTCAATCACTTGCATTGTTTAAGCTAATAGAAGAAATAATTTGTACAGTCTTCTCATTTATTCATTCATCAATTAACAACGTAATAGTGAAGAATATAGAAATTATTTACTCTAGTTATCACTCACTTTCGAATTTAGTCTTTAAAATTTCACTAAAGTTCTTTGTCGCCACGAAAACACTGCGTCTTGAGATTCCCTATTGAGGTTAGAGCAGATGCTTTTCACGCAGCACATTAAGCCTATCACTTTCTTATAAATAAGGGCATCTCAAACTTGCGGATCGGATGGCACCGAGAGCTGGTCGGCACTACGGCCTTTTTGTATCTGAAGACTGAGGTCGTTGGGCTCCATTGTGATGTGATGGGACGAAGTCCGCTTGTGTTTCGTCTCCGGTGGTTTCAAATCTTTCGAGTTGGTCCTTCTATGGCGCAGAACACCCGCACCTTCAATGAGGCGTTTGCTCTCTTCATCTGTACATTTGTTCAGCGGCAGGACAGTCAGGTCGAGACTCTCCATGCTCTTAAGAGCTAGCTGCTTGAGCTGTTCGAGGCTTAGATCTCGGGAGTCCCCTCGGGAGTGGACTTTGAAGTCACGGGAGCTGTTTCTCGAGTGTCCGCTGAAATCACGTGAGGTCGAGCGCGGGAAAGCATCTCGAGAATGTCTCGAGTCACTTCTGACGGGTCGAGATCGTTCAGGTTCCTCCAAGGAGTGCTGCCTCCCGCGAGGCTCTAGCTGTATTGTTTTGGAGTCGTTGCGCAGATGACGCGAAGCTACCAAAACTCGTGAGTTCTTTCCGATAGTACGAGGTTGGGAATCCTGCGAGTACTGGGAATCTGTTCGCTGTAGTTTGGTGCCGTGATGTTCTGGTTGAACGTCTGGGTCCATTGGAGATGTGATCGCGGAACTAGGGCCGGTGGTCAACCCAGATCTGAAGCCACTTGCGTTATCCGCTGATGGCAGTTCTTCGAACACTGAAAAGAAGGATTTTATTGCATTAAGATTGGTCGCTATGTAGTTCTCTGGAGAACTATTTTACACATATAGTGAACTTCTAAATTTGGAATTTTTAAACACTAGTCTAGTCTAGTATAATCAGAACATTCATAAAAAATCTATGAAAAGAAGAAACTAAATAAATTTTAGTATTTATTAATTGCTATTAGATCATGTTTTCTATTTGCCTAACGACAGGAATCGGTAAGAAAGAAATGATTTCGATGAGACTTACATTTGTCGAGGCTGATGATGGAGCCAGCAATGTCCTTATGGTCAAGTGGTGGGACATTCTCAAGATGACGGCGGCGTCTGACCAGCCACCAGTCTATCATAAATATCCCCAACGCCACTATCTTGATGCCTCCGCAGAGTCCTACGTATCTGTAATACACATTTTATCTCTATTATACACAACAAGCATTTAGGCCAGGACAAACATACAAGCTTTAAAGACAAAATAAGTTATACTTCTTTTCGTAATACACGAATCGTGGACAAATCCACAAATTGGACATTTATGGTTATACAATCTTTATATCAACAAAGATAAACATTTATATATCTATAATTATGATCTTTGCAGCGAGTATTTACAGTTAAACATCACAAAAACAGAAAACAAGATTAATGAATACAAAGAAACAACAACAATGAATGATAAATTAAAAAAAAGTAACTTATCAAAGTGGGGTGGTTTTGCACAGGCGCTAATTAAAGATTTAAGTTGGCGTCTGATAGAGAGTACAGATGAATCCAGAGCTGGTGTTTCCCTTGCTCAATGAATAAAAATCACAATACAGAATTGGCCTGACAGCAGGCCGGACCAAACTTTTTGGTTTTCATTTTCTATTTATTTAACAAAACACACAAATCTATAATTTATTGTCAGTCATAGAGCACGCCAAACGTCTATAAAGGCGCCAACTGCGATGGCACTTGTAATCGACAGGCAGGCTATTAAATAGTTATTCTGATCACTCTTATTTTTAAAGTTTATCGTGACCAGCTGAAACGTTAAGTGATAAATATTCTTGTATCTTCTGAATGAAATGAATTTATCAAAAAGCCAAAGCCATTACCAAAATATGCATGCAAAAACAAAATTAAAAGTTAGTCATCAAATTATTTTATACAATGAGTAAAGAATACCTGTATCGAAACTGTTCGATGTCATAGAGAAGACAACGGCCTCCGTTGACCCCACTGCAGGTTTGCTTCCAGAGAAGACATGTTGAGTCAATAAGGTTACCGAACACTATAGGTGCCGGGATGTAACCGAACACACGGAATATCACAAACTGCATTCCCAGCGCGAACGAACGCTCTTCTTCGCTTACTGATCTGTGGATATAGAAATGACAGTGAAATTATTACTTGTCCAAACAAAACGTTTCTTTCCATAAACGCCAGGTTGAGAGTCGCACACACAAGTCACAGGACTCAAAAGCAAGTTACATTATTTTGAATGGTGATAACTGATAGCTTATTTATATGTCATTCGCATTTTAAAAATATATAATACTTATATCAAAATTTACCTATTCCTTAAAGGCCTGCAAGGCTGCTTGACAGAGTGAGTGTCTATGGGGGACGGTCTCACCTAACATCATGAAGAGTTTCCAGCCCGTATTATACCTATTTCGATAAAAAAATGTTTTAATGCAAAAGGAGCTTACCTAAGCACGATCATAAGCAGCGGCATCTGCGTGACAGCGACCACAAAAGTCATAAAGAAGAGCAGCACCAAGAAGGGAAATATGGTGGTGCAAGGCGGATTGCAAGCGCCAGCGGTGGCAACAGGCACCACCGTGACCTCGCTGTACTCGTGCGCACCCGCAGTTAAGGCCGCGGCGGATGCCCCGCCCACTACAGAGGCCACGCCCATTGCATCCCGACTGTTCTCATGTACACCTGACGTAAATCAATGTCTTTTACTAAAGATATTATGTCTTTAAGATTTAAAATTTAATTAACAAACGAAATGTGAAACAGAGGTTTAACCTTTACGGCGCTAAAATTACGGTCTAAAATCTAAATAAAATCTCAGAGTAAATTAAAGCTTAAAGCTACTATTACAAACGATTTTAAAATATTAACTATTTCTAAACCGGTCCAAATAAAAATTACACTTGGTTTTCTCTTCTATCTTAAGATCCTAAATCGTGTAAAAGATTTTACTCACAAGCGCAGTTAGTAAAGTTAGATCTCGACGAAGAGAAAGCGGCACATCCGGCGTGACAAGGGGAGAAGTATGTGAGCCCGTTGTTCCCACACACTGGCTCCATGTCAGTTTCCGTACACAAACAGTTGAAGTTGCACGCAGCCGTCAGATTCACTTTAAACGGCTCTAGATTGCTGCAGGACAAATATATATTTCTGTATTATGAAGAAGACAGATTTGAGTTTTTGTAACGAATAAACTCAAAACAAATGAACCGATTTAAAAATGCTTTCAAAATTAGAATTCTACACAGAACATTACATTTGTCTTAAAACTTAAATCTATCGAATTTTTATAACAATACCAATGTAATTAATAAAATTAACATGAGAAGATAATTTCATTTACAAAAAAAAATACCTATGGTTCGTATAAGGTATAGTTGTTCCAGCCATCTTGATGTTATCGCATCCCAGAAAGAATAATAAAGCATAGCACGAGAGACATATAGTGTTTGATATCAGGACGAATTGAACCGCACCCTTCGGTCGAAGCTCCAGACGTTTGAGAAGGCAACCTCCCATAAAGATGCCGATACAGGCTCCTGGGATGGCCACAGATCCTGTTGGTAAACACGCGTATGATTTAAACAATTGTTTTGTCATCGATAAACCTCCTTTTAAACTACACAATCTAATCTAGACAGTCTAACATCAACTCCATACGGTTGGTTATTGTGATAGCGGGTTACAAAAAAGTTAGAACTTCAGAGAAATTCAGGTCAACATACTGAAGAAATTAATAACAAACTTAATAAAAAATAAAAATAATGCCATAGATCAAATGAATTGTCATGATATTATCTAAAATATTTCAGTTTCTTTCCTTTATATAATAAAATAAAATTCATGAAATTATTCCGATTCAAACATTTTATAATAACATAAATAATTCTAGAATTAAGTCCTACTACACTACAGTCTTGGATATTTTTATATGGATTTTTCCTGGCTATAATTTATTTGATAATATTTTAGACCAATATTCTAAAATGAGAATTAAACTTAAATAATTACAATGCATGTCAAAGTTTCCTTTAAAATATGACAGTTGTTCAAGCATAGTGCATTATTACATAGTAGAGATATAAAATTCTTTTTTCTCAGATATTTGTATCTTGATTGATCCAGAACTCAATTTTAAGTATACCTGTGAACATGCTGGCTTGGCTCTTTCCCAGACTGAACTGAGTTTCCAAATACTTGGGCAGAAATACGACAAATCCAGATACAATCATCAGCTCCATGCAGGCGCCCAAACACGTCACCACGTAGACGGGATTCTTGAGTAGACGCCACATCGACACAGGAATATCTAATGAGAAAAAGCGTACTTTTTTTAATATTAATAAGGAAAACGCATCATAACTCTTAAAAAGCTCATTATCGACAAGTCACAATAATTATATAGATTTGCAATATCATCGCTCAGACTTCAGATGTTCAAGAAAAGACGCAGATAGACTGTTCCAGAACATGCCGAGAGCCCTTTTATATTTATGTTAAGATATATTAAAATATACAATGCGGCAAATTGTACATGCTTGGAAGACCATGGTGAGTTTTTGTCCATGTGGGACAGAAAGAATCTTAGCTCAATTTTTAACTTCTTTTACACATGTGCATACAAAATATTGCTTCATCAGCAATATTTTAAGGAATTATATACTTTAAATGTATTTGCATAGATGTAGTTAATTTTAATGAGACTAAATTTAGTGGAGTATCCGTTAAAACTTAAAATAACCAAAAATAATATTAATTCAGTTGGCACGCAGTAGCTACTTTATTTAGAAATCAATAAAACTTAATTTACACAAGAATTAGGGCTAACAATGTTCACGGTCGTTTACGGTTAAAAAAAGTTAATAAAAACGTATACAAAAAGTGTTCGTGGTGAGTGCGAGTGAAACATTGTAATTCTATAAACCAGTCATGCGTATAGATCACCGATAACAAATGTCATATTTTATATAAAAAGTACAACACGGCAGTTTTTTTAACACGTAGATTTTATCAAGGTTATATATTTCAGTGTTTTTTAAATTTTATTCTATATTATTTTGTTAAATTTAAGTAATGAATCAAGGAACACTGCTATGTGCAAATATATTGAAGTACACAACCTTCCAATGCGGTATGGGACATACACATTTTTTTGTATGATATTGATAATTTAATATTTATATATATATGTATATACAAATACTTCTTATATTTACGTATTGACGTCGATTACAAATGGGCAAGAGTTTACCTTTTATATCTTTCCCATATCCAGAATCCTTGATACCACTCTGAGGTTTAGGTGGCGGTTTAGAGGTACCGGACCCACTGGCGGCAGCTGCTTTTTCTACCAGTCTTATTTTCTCTTTTTCATGTACCAACACTTTGGGGAAGGAGAAGAATGGTATAGCTATAAGGATAAGTAAAAGACCCCCGAGTAGAAATCCACCCCACCACATTCCTACCCATCTATGGTCAGTGGGATCTGAAATTAATACAAAATTATTATTTTAACTCCTGCATGATTGACCTAACAAAGAGTCATCCAGATGAATATTAAAAAATACCACAATCGCAGCAATAGCAATACTAAGCAGCGTTAATGTTTCAATAAAATAGCAACATTTCCAAAGGGTTCAGTTATAATAATAAGTCTTGTAACAGTCTCACGCGTGAAGAACGTTTGCAAAAAAGTGCTATATAAGAATGTATAAATTCAAGGTTTTACCCTCTAAAATTGTTTTTTAAGTACTTGCGTCAATTAAATGAATTATTAAATAAATAATAGCAAACATTTTATACTATTTCAGGGGAGCATAAGAATTTTTCTTTTTGCAGGCAGGCTGACTGCGGATTTTAGGTCTAAGACGCGCCGATGCCCTTATGATGTTTTGTTCTGCACGCGAATATAATCAAATAATAATTGCCCAGATAAAACGTGAAATCAATAAGACGGATTAATAAATATTTTATAATATATTAAATTTTATGCATTTTAAATATATGCAATTAGAAGAATGGTTTTGTTTATAATTAAATAAACGCGTGTGTCACGCGACCATATCAAGATAGTTTTGGAGTTCCTGTTAGTTAATTAATTAGATACGCTTTATTTCAAGGCTATATTAAGGAAGAATATGTGCTCATTTTATTTAAAATCACCAGGAACCAACCATCAAATACAAGGTTATATAATTAGATTGACATTTAGCGAGAAATCAAATAAAGCATTTGACATTTTAAATGACACCAACATTTAAACAGATCCTAATGATTTTGCTTTACTTAGACAGCTTGAACGCAATATCGTGCAATTTAAATTTTGAAAAATTGTCCCGAATCCTGTATGGTAGGGGCAAACATAATATTCTTATTTTTATATTTATCATAACACAATCGTTATTTCACGAACATCTCCGACAGGAATCTTACCTATTGTAGGTCCACCAGAGAGGGAGTCCATGTGAAAAGAAAGAAGATAAGCACCAAGTAAAAAGCCTAAGACTGGTCCAAAGGCGCCCATACTGTACATACAACCTGAAAACACAATACAACTTTTAAAAATTTCAAAATGCTTAGATTAGGATGACTTCTTACCACGCCTATAGCTCGCTATATACCTTGCTTCACCTTAATTTAACATAAAGTCAGGTTGATATGAAAAAATGGTTGAATTAATAATATTTTAAAGCCTTGTACTTCCATAAAAACAAACTTGTATTTCCGAATAAGTGCTTGCATATTAAAATGGCACCTACTTTTCGCATCGTTGGTTTAGTTTCTTGAAAACGAAATACATAATCTTTAAGATAAAGAGATTTGCTATGTTATACATATTTAATTAGAATATAACCCGGATTAGCACGTTTCACAATATTCGCTTACGTAAAGATGACGTAATTGTTACGTTATGTATAGTGCAGATCATTTATTCGATATTGGGATTGTTTGACATTCATTCATATTCAATGCATTATAACATAAATGCCAGGTGATAACTTACAAGTAAAATGTATTTCCTTTTTCATTTTTTAAGCGTTTAACCCAACAGTTGGTTTAATGTTGAAACATACAAAGGACTCATCACTTATGCCGCTTAAGAAAAATCATTATTCCCACCTCCCAAAAGACTATGGGACACATTTTCGAAAAAGATATACACAATATACTTACATACGCAAATATTATATATTTATATTTTAATGTTTATTAAGATAAAAATATCAAAACATAAACGTTTCGCAAAAGCATTGCTTGTGTTTACTTTCGAATAATAAGGGCACAGTAGGTACATGTCTCGACGCATCGCGCCGTCATTGCGGTTCAAAACTAGGTCATTCTTCGTTTCACGGTCCTGCTTCGTAAAATTTTCACTTATATTAGTTGTTATTATGTTTCTCCTTATATGAAAAAAATTTAACCTTTAATAATTCTCAAGCGACTGCCATTCTAATAATACTTGACATTAAATTATGGACGCAAAGAGAGTGGTTATGTCTGAAGGCTATATGAGAGGCTCTCGCGATATAAGTCACCAATGAAAAAAATACTTGACGTACTACGTAGGGTCGTTTTATCAAGATTTTGGATAAAACCTTTTTTAAAGCACTTGAATACTGTTATTGGAGATGATTCATTGAAATGACTCATTCGACATTTTCATAAAGTTTCTTTTTACAGACGCTCAAAATTATAATTATATAAGTCAAAATCGAGCATTACCTCTTTGTGTTTGCACAATGCCATGTATAATGTTTAAGACATTATGAAATTTGTATCATAATACGAGTTAATAATCTTATATTCTAGATTTATAAACAAAATCTTATTCATATCAATACGCCACATCAGCTGGGTCACACTTCGCCCTACTATCAATAAAGTGCGAAGCTGCACACAATTAAATAGAAAACCTCTTGTAAACATAAACACGGCAATGTCAATGACAAATTACATAAGCGAAATGTGTCCACAGAGACGGAAATTTTACTTTTTAATAACAGGGTAAACGGCGGGTCAAGGGTTTCTGATCGAATCCTTGGGTTGGACTGTTCAAAAAGTACTGCGCCATAGGTATTACATGCGAGCTCCAAAATAATTATGAATCAATACTCAAAATTTAGCCACAAAAATCTTGAACTTGTGAAAACCATTATTTTTAAAATAACACGGAGAAGCACCTGATATATGGACTATTACATACATCTAAAAATTATCCAATTAGCGAAGTTCTATTTAATTATGAGCAGGAAAATATATATTGTTTAAGACACTTCGATTCGCGACTATTACATAATACCAATTAATCATACGCCATTGATCTATTTTTGTTACCATTGCATTCGGAAATTCCTTGACTGCATACGAATGCGCAATTAGTTTTATGGCTTTTCCTATATGAACGATGGCACGGCCGATATTTATCCCATTAATCCCCAAAATCGCTTAGGAATAACCAGTTTTGGAGCCGAAAAATGATATATTTTTTGAAGGCGTGAACCGGTTTTTGCTTTTATTTAATATATTTGATTTAAAAAAATACATCAGAATTTGTCACAGCAACAGCAATTTGAGATATCCTTGTTTACTTTTAATTAAAAATATCACTATTGGAGGAAAGTATAACCTTTTAGCTATTTATTTAGATGGTAATAAAAACGGTAACAGAGCAAAGTCACGTCTGGCTGTAGGGGTTCGTTGAACTAAGCCGTACACGCCGTACACCTCGCTTATGAGACATCGTGTGGTTACAACGCACCGTTCGATATTACAACAAATATTTATGGAAAGGTCGATGGAGGCATTTACTATCATAAAACAAAGGTAGCTAAATACTATTAAAAACTTAACAAACGAATGGTATAATCGGTGAATAATGCCATTTTCAATAAGAGCAATTGAGGGTATAAATAAGCAATTTCTTTGTTGAAACTGTGACGGGTCATAAATCATGTGAAAGCAAGACTATTATAGAATTTATTTTTCATGTTGAGAAAATGGTTTACGTTGAAGAATTATAATAAACCTTTTCATGGCCTTTAGTGATAGAAGCCTTAACGATTAAATTAGCTTAGACGTGGTCTTTGGAAATCATATACCTTTTTGAAATGGTAAAAAAATATACGAAAAGGAATCTTTGGATTGATGTATAATGGTTGGTTCATACCAACGCGGCTTTAAAGAAATAAAATTACGATTAAACCTATAATACTGTTTACAATGTTTTTATTCGATGCTATGCGTGATTACGTTTTCATGGAGTTACATCGACTTTAATGAGATTTGGAAGAAAATATATTTCTATAAGCGGAAAATATACATTTATTAGAATAATATTCTGTTATATTGTTATATAGCCTGTTCCGGTTTCGCAAGGCAAGGATTGAATTTTTGGTAATATATATGCCTATTTTACTCAGATAGCTTTCTAATAGTGAAATAATTTAAGAATTTTCCGTTTTAGACTTTACGCTTTACATAAAAATATATTTCTTTCGATTATTTTCTATAACAGTATAGATATTGTCTAATCATACCATTTACTGATGAAACAAACATTAAAACGGCATCGGTATTGAGAGGTCATTGCTTTGTTATACCGAAACAATCACAGCTTCCTATAGACAAATGCTAATTGCGAGTCACGGTGATGGATAATAAAATAAATCAATATTGCACGACTAACAATTTAGCATCTATGGTAAAATTTCTGGCGTTTTCGTATTACAATATATTGCACCATTACATTCATAAGGAAATGTACAATATATTTAAGTCAGTCTAATAAAAAGGCCAGAAATAAACTATTGAAAGGTGATAGAAACTGATATGTCTTCCTTTCTTTTTCGTGTTCTATGTAAAAATACGATTCATAATTATACGAATAATACCTATAGGAATCGTAGAAATAACAATAAGAATTTTAGTGAATTAGAACAATAATAATGCAGTGGCGGAACAACACTGTATGGGTGTTATATTGCAATTGTTTCTATGATCATGTGTCTTCTATAGGAAAGTAGGTGATCAGCCCTCTGAGCCTCACGTCACACTTCATCGGTTTGGACCTCAGATTCCTTACGATATCTTCACCGTACGAGCTAGTGTTAATTGCGCATAAACCACAAAAACCGGTTTTGTGGTATATGTCTCCAACAAACCGGAGTTTGAACGCCGTACCGATTTACCAAATAATTATACATTTTGAATATTAATTGCTAAATAATAAACTTACCTATATACATACTGGAGGACTCTGGTCTTACGTGGTCGTCCACATACGTGGTGCCGAGCGTGAGAAGGGGTGAACCCCCACATCCCAATAACACTTGTGCGACGATGAACACCATCACCGGCCCAAATGTGCTCGGTGAACTCTGTCAAAAATATTTTAATTAAAAAAATATTAACCCTTTTGCTTATAATAAAAACATAAGAATTACGTGATTTTCATTATATTTTGTGGGCCCATCACAAAATATCGTGAAAGTTTTATAAATGGATGTTAAAAGTATGGATAAAAAGGTCAATGTTAACATTCAGCTTTGCCCTCTGCCCCACCTAAGGGACATAGGTTCTTGAATTGAATTTTCAGTAAAGGAATATAGAGGGCTAAGTAACTATTCACTATGGCGTAGACTGAGTTTGAATTACTAATTTACACACAGCTCTTCAGTTTAATTTCTTTCCAAAAGTAATTATGGTTATTATAAAATACATCTGCAAATAGCTCGGATCTCGTTGCATTTACGATTCAATAAGCGCCTATTCCTGGATCACTATTAGTACAATTGTATCAATAAATGACCGTTATCTGTTATATATTTTACAAAACACATAATTAAAATTAACAGTCTGTTTTGGCGGTCATTTGAAATTTTTTGGAGGAGCAGTTTTATATCGCCCTTATTAAATAGCTCAGGTTACACAATTACTAAAGTACTATTTTGTCTCTTACCGTCAAATTGTATTAACGGTGTGATGAAAAGAGACAGATAGGCTTTAAAGCGGTTTAATGGGACTGATTTAGTAGTAATAAATAAGAGAGCTGGAAGATCCACCCATCATTTAAATATGCGTTAAATTTATTAAGTAAGGTAACATGAAATATATAATGATAATCTTATCTCAAAATGTAAATTGTCTAGTAGCAATAATTGGTATTTTATCAAAACATCGTAAAAGTAACATTGCCTCATATAAATTACTTAATTTAGTAATTAAATGCAAATAAGTTTTACATTTCCTACGTAATAATTAAAATTGTTTTCGATCAAGTCATAACACGTAGCAATCAATCGGTTATTAAGTTTAGTTTTAAAGAAATAAATGATATGATCAGCCTTCTGTGCCTGACATACGCCGTCTAAGGGATGCACGGTTTCCTCACGATGTATTCATTTGGTGCACAGCCGGTCGAACCTACTAACTCAGAGAAGATAGTCGCACGCTGAAGCCACTAGACAAACAATGCTCGATACTATTTCGACTACACTTTTAGAAATATTTTAATAAGGGATACATAACGTTAAAAGAACTTTATTACTCATTACAAAATGGTTTTTTTTATATAAAAAACTTAACGATAACGAGTGGCACGTCGCTATCAGACATCCGTCCTAATCTTAGCTCATTCTGATGTGTATCTTTATTGCCCTTTAAAATTGACTAAACACGCTAATATTTTGAAATTTTTGACGGTAATTTATTTCATAATTGCACACCCTCCTACTTCCCTCTTCTAATAATTTGTACGCGTTTTCGGCAAGATAAGCAAACTCATAACAAAAATAATCTTCGAAATGTTTTTATTTTACACTCTGTGACCCAAAAGAGATTTGGCCTCCGAAACAAGATACTACGATTACTAGCTTATTTTACACGTGTTTATTTTTTTAATTTGTATTATAGCGTTAGACAAATCAATTCCAATATACAATGGCCACCTCCTTAAATGATTTAAAGGAAACATATTTCAATGCGGTGATTGAGAGTGATACACGGGGAATATTTATATGAATAAAACAAATCCGCAACCCGCCGTCTGCGCGCTGAGTTTTACAATATAAGTCGCGCGGGTAATAACTCGTTTCATTATAAAGCAATTGGTGGATATATTTTGCGCGGTCCATTGATATCCCGAAGAAGAGATTTTTCTTTGTTTACAACAAAGTAATACGTAACATTATATTAAATACGTCAACATATATATTGCCAAAACAAATTATTTATGTGCGTTATTTTTGTTACTACTATGTATATAGAACTCAGCACACCAACGCATAACGGTAGTATGTGGAGAAGCATGAACCCCTGATATTGACATGAACCTCTCAAGTCTTAATCTACCAGCGCTGTAGTAAACATTTTCAGGCCGAGATGTTTTATTACCTAAATTTTAACTATTTTAAGAACTTGTTCCCTCTTTTGTTTTATAAAAAAAGTTCAAGCAAGTAACTTTTTTTGTTAACTTTAAAAGAGAATTGAATGCTTTTTATTATTATTATGCCTAGTATTTATGATTTTTTGTTCCAAGGCGAATGAATCGCATTATCTCTATTGAAGACCCCTAAGATATGAATGGGTCGAGAGACTGACGGGAATAATATGTCAAAATTAATAAAATACACTTTATAACAGCAAAATAATTACTATTTCAAAAATAACTCGGAACGTAATATTTGCTATATTTTTTCCTTCTGAAAACTATCGTATAAATCGAACATATGGAACCTTGGTGAACTTTTGAATTTTAACATTAATTTAGTATTAAGAAGGAGACGAATAAAACCTAAAAACGAAAAATATTGTTTTGTTTTAACTATAGTTTTTGTGAACTTGATCCTACAAATGATAAATCCTTCTAAATAACAAGAGCTGTTAAAATAATGTTCACAGCAAAAGCTGTATATATCCTTCGTAAATGAAAAAAAAAACTTACCTTAATACAATTGTCGGGTCTCAAATTGCTGGGTCTCAGCCCTTGCGACAACCTTCCCAGTCCCCCCATATCCTGTTCCAGGAAGGCAGGCCGACAGATGTTTTCCTCTGATTTGTTGTTCGACAGCATTTCGCTGTTCACTTCCGCTATAAAGTGCGGAACGACAAACACCAGCGATCCAATACCCATTATAACGGCACCTACAACACATGGCTTGTTTACAAGTTTTCATGGTCAGATCATAAGGACAGAACGGGAATAGTTTTAAGACATTAGCTAACTTCTTGAAGATAATGATTCTCTATATAATGTTGATAACTAACGAACGTATACGCGTTTCAACGAGCGCGCTAAAGTGCTTAAACATTAAAAGACTAGAGAAATGTAGATACCAAGTAAATATGTTGAGGAATGACGAATCTCGGAATAAAAACGTTTCAAAATCAAACTGAAATTTTATTGAATTTTAATTTAAACTTATAAAAAAACTAGTCTTCATTGAGACACCATTAAACCTTAGAATTATCCTAACTAAAACTAATCAGTGATTTAAGTCTAAATTTTAATAGTTTCACAGAAAAGTTATAATATTTTATATGAATAAAAAAGATCTTACCGACTGCAATCCACACTGGAATATGTCGTCTACTGCCCAAATATGACACGAAAATTACAGTGATGACGTTGCCAATCTCGTAGCTGCTCGCAATGAGCCCAGAGAGGCTGGAAGGTATCTCGAAACGTTTCTCTATTGTTGTAATCACAGAATTGATGTACCCAGAGCTTAACGCCTGTTGAAGCGTCACCAGGAACGATAGGAAAAATACGAAAACCTGCAAAACATCCCTGTTATAAACACTGTAATTTATTTATTTAAAAAAAATCGTTATTTCTCTTACTTTAATACTAGATAATCTCTGTATAAATAACGGCCTCCACGATAGGATACCGCAGTCTCGTGTGTCATGAGGAATGTCTAATATTTCTGGGAATAACTGATGAGGCTTCTCTTTCTCTTTCTCGCGTTCCCGATCTCTGCAATAATATTAACTATTTAGATCATATTATTTTAATAAATAAAGTATAATTTATATTTTTATTGTTAAGCGCTATATATTTGTAAGAGCAGTGTTGGCCTAGTGGCTTCAGCGTGCGACTCATCCCTGAGTTCGTAGGCTCGGCCGCGCACCAATAGACTTTATGTCTATGTGCACAATTAACGTTCTCTCGTACAGTGAATGAAAACATCGTGATGAAACCGAATAAAAATCCAAATATCGAAGACATTTGTCAGACAGAAGGCTGACCCACCTCCTTGTCTATGAAATAAAAATTATAAAAGAAACGGATGCCAATAACACGCTACGCATATGGGTTTTGTAGCACCATTAGATAATTATTATTTTATATTAGTAATATCTGTACGACGATTCGAGTTGAATCGTTAATTCATATATCCTAATATGTACAATAATATATTTATTTTGTTAGATTTTAATACATATACGACGTGAAAATTACTATATTGTATCTTGTTCTACTATTTGCATTTTTTAAAATGAAATAAGGTAATAAATACTACTTCACAGTAAGTAATTCCAGACTAAACTTTAATATTATAAAAGAAAGGTATAATATAATATTTTATAAAACACAAGTACACATTTGTGTTCCGTAACGCTTTTGTGTTAAAAAAAATAACAGATTTTACACCATTTATCTATATGAACATTGTCGGATTAAAAGCATACCTACATGAGATAATAAGCTCCAACTTTAGTTACTTGCTTATCTAACATTTGTGATTGAATTATTTATCATATCGATTTTACTTATATTGATAAGTAATTTTTACACTTATAAAGCTAAAATTAGTTTTCATACTAAAGGATATGCCACTAAGGTATAATATGGTCCGGCTAACAGTTTCCGGCATCAAACGTAAAGTGATCTTAGTACATACCTGTCGCATAATCCAGCTGATGGATTTCTGCTGTGACATTTGATAGATTCTCGTGGGGGGTGTGATGGTGGGGCGCTGGGACCGGCTGCGTCGGTAGCACCCTCTGCGCAACCAGACTCCGCGTATAAGCCTGTCATTGCGTACATTGATTCTTGTCTCCTAAAATAACAAGTACTTTAAAACCAGGTATTTAAGGTAGTAATTTATTCTTAAAATACGTGGTACAATTTTTTATTTACGGCGTCGATGTGTAAAAAATTCTTCTACCTTTGCAATAAAGATCTCAATTGTTCTGATAAATCCGTCATATCGAATCAAGACAACGTAACTTCCTTAAAACAAAACAATGCTAACACGGTTAGTTTTCGCGACCGCGATGACGTCATCAATTTAGCGATTTCACTTTCTCACGACACAATGATGGCGACTATAACTGTACGCACATTTAACGGAGTATTTGGAACGTGCTCTTATGGCGTACTGAGATAAACGTGATGACTAAAGCTTTGTGTGTACGTTAGGTGTGAGTCTCCTAGGTGTGAATGTGGGACACGTGTCGCAAACCATACAATATCTGGGTGTCAAATCTTATCAAATTACGGTGTTAAAATTACTCAAAAGTTGCCGTTATCTATTATACTCACTCCCTCAATGAATGATGTTTATATTATTAATAGCTATAGCTTACCTTTGCCATTATAAGTAAATAATTTAAACAAAACGACAAATGCACACATGGCCGACGATCATTATATCGTACATATTTGTAGTTTTTTATTTAAATTGAAAATATAAACAAAATATTAAACAACAGATAACAAGTGCAAATAAATCATGTATTTACAACAGGTGCAAATTATGCGCATAGATAATGAGAACATGGCTAAGATTACATACATAAAAAAATTTGTGACATTAGGCAAATATAATCTAATATTTCAGCACTAGCAACGGGATAATAACTAATTCAGACACTTTCAAATTCATCGCTCAATTAACATGAAAATTGGAAAATCAATCGCTAGAGCGTGAGGTAATCAAAATCGAACCTGTTCAAACTTTGCAGAATTTAAGACTTAAAAGGTCATACAACCTGCATAACTCTGAAGTGCACACGTACACTTCTTAAATTTAAACCGAATCCCAAGGCATTCAAACCTCTATCATAAGCTACCCGATTTTTGAGTAAGTATAATTTTAAAAGTAGAGATGTTTTTATGAGACAGTCCCAAGAAGGCGGCCAGAAAGATGTAAAGTGAATGGCATGACAGCGAAAAAGTACGTAGTTGGTCCCAAAGTTCTGTCACTAGCACATTATTTCTACATTTCGAGCAGGATTTTATAAAAAAATTATTGCATTCTATTTTGGAATGTTTGATTATTGTTTTAAAACAAAAAACAATAACTTTCCGTAATTTTTCACGATGGAGTGGACATTGAAAGTAAACCGAATAGTTGTTATTGCGTTGCACCGCTGTGGACACTCGCCGAGTACCATTTTCAAGTTGCTCAAAAATTTGAATATAACGCTTAGGTTTGTGTACGGTACTATTGATAGGTACCTTGAAGTCTCCAGTGTTGAGGACAAGAAAAGAACTGGCTGGCCACGCTCCGCAAGAACACCAGCAGTAATCAAAGCTATCAAGGCGCGGATAGTAAGAAATCCTGTCCGAAAACAGAAGTTGATGGATTTGCAGATGGGTGTCAGTAGGAAAACAGTAAAAAAGGTTTTAAATGAAGATCTTGGTCTACGAGCATACAAATAAAGAGTGGGCACTTACTTAATGCTCGTCTAAAAGCAATAAGGCTTAAGAGATCGCGGGTGTTGTTTAAGCGGTACGCGAAAAACCGACACCGTGATATCCTCTTTACGGACGAAAAATTTTTCGATATTGAAGAGAAGTACAATAAACAGAATTATACAGTGTACGCTAGGAGTTCTGAAGAAGCTGAAAATAAAGTTCCAAGGGTGCAACATGGACATCATCCATCATCAGTAATGGTTTGGTTGGGAGTGTCCTATTACGGGCTAACTGAGGTTAATTTTTTCGAAAAGGGGGTCAAAACCAGTGCTACAGTGTACCAAGAGACGGTTTTGTATCGCCTTGTCAAAGACACGTCCAGCACCCTATTTGCGGGACATCACTTCGTGTTCCAGCAGGACTCTGCGTCTGCATACAAAGCCAAGACCACTAAAGCCTGGTTTGAGCGTCAAAACATCGTCTTAATTAGACATGAGGATTGGCCTTCCTCCAGTCCGGACCTTAATCCTTTGGACCAGAAATTATGACAGGGCTTAGAGAGGAAGGTCTGTGATAAACCTCATGAAAATTTGGAGAATCTGAAGTCATCTTTAAAAAAACCAGTGACTGAAATCGACACGAATATGGTGCGTGCTGCGATAGACGACTGGCCGCGACGCTTAAGGGCCTGTATTAAAAATGAGGGAGGTTATTTCGAATATTTTTATGCTTTTTTATTCCTTAATTAATGTACTAAGAATTGATATATCACTCATTACAAACTGATCAGTACTTTTGTTTTTATCATTATTTCCATTTATGACAGAACTTTGGGACCGACTACGTACATTGTCAGCTCTCTGCTCTTTACATATAAGTTTCATTCACAATTACATACAAAGGAGTACTTGAGCAATCCATTTACCTGTGTCCCTTCCTGTGTTGTGGCGCGGCGTTTGCGCCACCTGCACTCTGCTGTCTCTCGCCTTCCATTGTGTAGATATATTCTTCTTCTCACCGCACGCCCATAACAATTTGCCCCAAACTTCTCCACCTGAGGACAATTAAAGAAAAATCTTAATATAGTGAAGAGTAATTTCTAAGATAAATTAATTAAGCTGGAAAATTATCATTGGCAATAAGCATGCGCCAAACATGAAATTGTGAAAGACGTTTATGTCAATTCTACTCAAAAAGTTTCTTCGTCTAAACATTGGCGACAATTGTCTCGCAATGGAAAATTTAGCTTTATTTAAAAAAAAAAATTAAAATATTTGTTTTTCTAAATGTATACTATTTTATAATATAACAAAAACAACTTTCACAGTTTAATAAGGTAAACATATGTTTTGTTTATCAATGAACATTTAAATCTACTTTTGTCATGATGTATTAAAAGAGAGCCATTATCTCCTGCATGATGCCTGCATGTGTTGCTTTTGGCCTCCAGCAATGCTCTATATTTGGCAGTGAGTCACTAGTATTGCTGATTTTACGTAATACCAATATACTATTGGATATTAAATCCATTAATATTTTCAAAATTATTGACTTTATTATATCTTTACGATATAGCAGGCTTCTATAACTGTATAAAATATAAATTAAATAATATATATAAATAAGTATGGAATTAGATGGCAGTGGACTGGTTCAGCATGTTTTAAACGTCGTTTTAGCATAATAGCACTTTATTAAAGACGGTCTGTCCCCAGATATTTATTATTAAAAATATTTTGGAAATGAGTAGGGTAATTCCGGGGGAGATGGCCGTACGGGAGAGATGGCCAATAGAAAAAAATCGAGTATTAATTCATAGATGGCAATACTTTTTATTTAGTTCCATTTATGTCGGCACCGGCAACAAGTGACAGTGAATTGTTTTGCAAAAAAAATAGGAAAAAGCAAGTAATTTGACTTTGTTTTCTATTAACACGTTAGATCTAAACTAAGGGGTTGACACATTAAGTGGTCAAAAAAAAAGTTTTGACAATTTTGTACGTTTTCGTGATATCTGCGTGAAGTAAAGAACTTTCTCGTGTTCTAACCTCAAAATTAACTTCATAATTGAGATGTTGCTTTTATTACGTCCTGTGGCCATCTCACCCGGTCAATAGGGATAGATGGCCATAGTATTTGCGGGAGAGATAGCCATATAATTTAAATTTATTTTTAATATTTAATATTATCTAGAGATGCCTCATGAATAATTACGAAAAGCTGCTACTGGACGAGGTGCCTGGAGCGAAGAAAACTTAAAAAATGCAATGGCAGAAGTACAAAGTGGTGGGATGACGATTTATAGGGCTTCTTTTGTCTATCATATTCCAAGAAAAACAGTAGAAAGAAGGTTGAAACAAAACAATTACATAAGGGACCTATGGGACGGGACCATTGTCAACCTTTGGTACAGTTTTCATTTTTGAAAAAAAGGCTGAGCAAGCATATAAAAGACATGCAATTGAGAGGCTTTCCTTTGACTAAATTGATGATTTAAGAACAATTTCATTCAAGTTTGCTGAGCAATTAGGAATCAAACACATATTTAACATAGAATCTGAGAAGGCGGGCTATGATTGGGTGCATATGTTTTTAAAAAGGAATTCCGATATTTCATTAAGGAAATCAGAAGGGGTGTCATATGCTAGAAGTCAAGGGATGAATAAAGCAGAAGTTAATGCCTATTTTGAAATGCTTGAGAGGATTCTCAGTGATAATGACCTTATTAATAAACCTGGCCATATTTACAATATGGACGAGTCTAGGTTGTAACTAAATAATAGACCAGGTCACGTTTTGGCTGAAAAAGGTTCCAAAGCCGTAGCTATGTCAACGTCTACAGAAAAAGGAGAAACGATCACGGTAGTTGGTTGCTACAATGCTGAAGGTAATTTTATACCTCCTGCTTGCATTATGAAATGGCAAAGGAAGAAACCTGAATTTGAAGATGGGCTGCCTCCAGGTTCAGTGGTTTATATGTCACAAAAATCCGCCTATATAACCCGTGACATATTTCTAGAATGAAGATTTGAAGATTGGATACAATGCAATATTGTGCACGAAAATTGCACCGAGTTTGATGACATGTGTTCTCACTGCGACAATAAGAAAAAAAAGGAGTTAAAAGATCTCAAGGGTAAAGGGAAAGGTAAAAAAAGTACTGGCCATCTCGCCCCGAACACTATGGCCATCACTCCCGGGCACTCTGTGAGAGATGGCCAGTCCTAGTTTTTTTTTAAAGTTTAAAATTATATTGTTAGAGTTGCCTAAAGTGATGTATCGTTAATATTTGATAAGAAAAAATAATTAAAGTTTATGTTCTATACGAATTCACTGTTTTATTCATCATAATTCCTTCATAATACAGTTTTATAGTTACTAGGGCTATCTCCCCCGGAATTACCAGGCTATGTACGATTTAAGAGTTACATTATCTCGTTGCAGTCATACAAATCTTTCCTCTTTATGATATTCTGGTAAGAAGTAAATACAGATATTTATGCGAGCCGTAGCTTGGTTTAAAAACGCTCAAAACAACGGTACGCAAGGTAAACGTTAGAATTTCAATATTGACTTAAGTGTCGTAAACTTACAACATACGATCTACGTAATGAATTGTTTCTTGTTACCAAAGACTTCAAAGAGATTAAGATTTGCTTGGTACAGATTCTCCTTTATTATAGTGAAAAAAAAAACAATGTTATTTCAAGAGGATTGCCTCCAACACATTCGAATAATAAAAACCAATCAAATACAACTTGTCAATTGTTAGGTACTGTTTAAGAATTCGTACGCTAAATCTGAATAAATATATCTAGTAACCATAGTAACAAGATCTTTCGTATGGGCAATTTCTGTCGGTATTCATATGTTTATTTAAAAATTCATCAAGTGCTACTCACTTGGAGATACCTTAGAGATAGTCTGATGGAGGATTTAAATGTTTGTATATTACTTTGGTTGTATAGCCAGTAAGGATAACTCTAGGTCAATTTAATTATTAAACCAATTGATCGATTAAACTTTAATCTTGATAGATCAATCGACTGAAGTTACTTTGAAGCCTTGTCTAGTCAGTACCTGCAATGTTATATAACGAATTGCGGAACGGAGCAGATGCCAAAAATTTAAAGGCGAAACACACTGATACGGACAACTGAATGTCTATTTCAAGGTCATAGCTCATTATAGACTTCACAAAACACTGGAATGTAGGTAATCTTAGGACACTTCTGGGTAGAAAATATTTGACAAGGTTGTTTAATTAAAAACAACCTTTAACTTGTTTGGTGATATTACTTAAGTCTCAGCTGAATCGCTACTTTAATTTAAATTTCGAATAACATACTATTCAGGAACGTCATGACGTTCACGACAGTCTGCCGGACGCCGATCGAAAGTTTGTAACAATGTGACGTTTCAAAAACACATGTAATTTACTGTTTGACAATATTATGCCTTTACATTACACATGGCTTGCCTTAAACCTTTTAAATAATTTATGAATTGTTTAAGGAACATAATATGTCGTACGAAACATATTATGTGTGTACGTCTGTTTAATCAAATCAAAAAATGCCCCAAGAGCGACCGAATAAATAAGATTTTAAGGCATGTATTACAATTTAGATAAGCTTAAGATTCACAATCCATCAACATACTGCTAAATAATAATAAGACATTTCTATATATTAATTGCTCATATCGGGCTTGTTTTAGAATCTAAACGGACATAAAGGAATCTGTTGACCGTCATTAAGCAAACAGTTTGAGTTTTGACCTAGCCGCTTTCAACGTTAGATCCCTCATTCCTACCTGTGAAAGTGGGTGTGCTGTCAAGGTTAATTTAGCCAATATGCGTTGCCGGTCGATATATGTATCGGCTGTTAACTATTAGGAGCTAGTTGAAAATCACGGCATATTAATCCTTATACGCAAGACGTGTAATCAGACGTCAGTCAATAAACTACAACTATACTGGTTTGACTTAGGTATACTCTGATTTTTAATTCCGTAGAATACTGACAGCTATCATTTTTTGAGATGTCTGAGATTACAAACCTTTTTGGCCGGGCACATTTTTCAATTTCAATACGAGTCTGAACATATGAGTCTATACATAGATTTTCTTGTTAGTGAATGTATATATTTTATTAAGTGCCGTGCTCAAATTAAAAGTGGTTTTACGGTGATAATTACGGATACGGGTAATTACGTCCCTTTTCATCATAAACAGTAAAAAACGCACAAGTAAAGATAACTTTTTATTTTTTTAAAGGTTTACTAAACCTGGAATTAGTCGGCAGTGATACCAGCCCTGCGATTCTGTAACTCACTTTTCGAACTCACACAGCGGTTTTCGCATCGGCGGTCGTCGTGAAAAGGTGGGAGCTTGTAGTTTATTGTTTATCAGAATGCCAAATCATAAAATGACTGCTTCACGACTGATTTGAGAGCGACCGCCGATGCGAAAACCGCTGTGTGAGTTCGAAAAGTGAGTTACAGAATCGCAGGGCAGCTAAAAAATAAAATAAAGTAATTAAAGTTATGTCGATATATTGTTCGTGGTATTAAAATATTTGTTATTTTTGTATTAGGTCACTTGTACCTACCTAAGTAAATATTTTGAATTACCTTTTTAAACATAAAAAATACGTAGCATTTTACTTTTCATTGCCCTAAATTGGTCAAATTTGTCCCTTTTTCGGTGGAAAACTTTGCTAGTAGCAGCAATTATGAAATGTCAGAATTATACGGAATTAAAAATCAGACTATAGTTAGAAATGTTTTCTACTTCAGATAAAATTTGTTTTATTTATTTATGCAAAGCTTTAGATTTCGATGTATCAGAGTCTACGAGGGGAGGTCCAAAAGTTCGTGGAATGGAGGGGATGGAGTGGGGATAGGGGCGCTCGCTTAGTGTCATACTAATTGGGGACTCATAATTAGTATATAAATGGAGTTTCAGCCCTATTGCGTCATTCGTTTACGAA